CCACACATAAACTTTGGCACCATTAACTATGTGAATTTTATCCTAGATGTCTCCAGTCCATATGGTTTCTGGGAGAACCCCCTGAAAATCCTTGCCAAAGAAAGGTACCCACAAAGGCTGCCAGAAAAGACATAAGACCATATAGAAGAGTGCTGTGGCAGGACAGCTGTGAGGCATCAGTCTTTTTTGTATCACTCCAAGCATCATTATCATCAAAGCATCATCCTACTCCATCGGGACACACATTCCTGTCTGTGTTCTTGTTGGTCCCATGCCAGGGAATGTATAATCCCTTAAAAGCAAGGAGTCTGCCTAGCCTCCCCTCTAACACCACTGCCTGTGGTGAGCCTCACTGGGCCATTGTCTCACACCAGTACATTTTCCTCAATCCAGGAAACACCATGGAAGTGTGGCTTACAAAACTCCACACCATAAATGTGAAACCACTGGAACAAAACCCAGAGGTCACCATCAAACTCAAGTCAATTCGATTCTGGAAATGAGAGGCCAGAAAAAGCAGAACATCAATCAATCATCAACCATCCCCTGGGCCAAGACCCAGATGCCTGTCAAGGAAACAGGAAGGATGGAGCAATAACTTTAAAACTAGTCCTCCAGCTTCCAAGAAATGGCTGATAAGTGCATTTCTATGGAGGAAAAATGTGCATCTTTATCTTGACTATTAGAAATTTTAAGCAAGAGCGTACATCAGAAAAATGTCTCAGCAGTTACCCTGACATTTCTATGCAAGAAGTTTTCATTTATGGTCAATTGTTTATGACTGCTAGTAAGAGAGCAGAGAAGAAGCAATATCAAGATATAAAATGAGGGGTAGTTTGGGGCTGGAGAGATGGCTCCACAGTTAAGAGCACTGGCTGCTCTTGCAGAAGACCCAGGCTCAAATCCCAGCACCCACACAGTGGCTAATGACTGCCTGTAACTCCAGTTCCATGGATCCGATGCCCTCTTCTCTCCTCTGCGAGCACTGCAGGACACAGGTGCACTTACACACAGGCAAGCATAACACTCATAACATAAATTTTAAAAATATATATAAAATGAGAGATAAAGTGGACTTTTCCACAAATCTTTTCACAGAGCCACTCATGAGGAACTAAAATAGTTGTTCTCCTACAGACCTCATCTTTCCCTTCTTAATCTCTAGTAGACATCTAAGCATATTTAAAAATGACTACAAGTTTTGGTGCAATGTCTCAGAGTATAAAAACAACCTGCTATGCAAACCTGATGACTGAGTTTGATCCAGAAGCCATGTCAAAAAGCCAGGTGCAGTGGTCCCTACCTGTAGTCCCAGAGGCCTACTGCAAAGTTAAGAAAGAGGCAGGAGAACCAGCTAGGCTGGAGGATGTAGAGTGGCAGAAACGGAAGGAGAGACCTGCCTCAGCAAGGTAGAGGGGAGAGCTAGCTCTGAAAAGTTGTCCTTTGACCTCATGTGCGCTATGGCACATGCACACCCTCACCCACACACCACACCACACACACACACACACACACACACACACACACACCACATGCACACATATCACACATACACACACAACTTTTTTAAAGAAATGAGTACAGGCCCGAGCAAGAAGAAATGCATTGAAAAGAGAGAGACTCTACTATAAAGTGCATAACTGGTCCTTAGGTTGGATTATCTGACCTATAGCAGCAGCTGGTAATTGAGGGAGAGATGCATGTGGCCCTCCCTGCTACCCTTCATCCCATCCCTCAGTGTGATTCCACATGCACAGGCATACCTATCCATACCTTTACACTGTGTCACTTATGATACTGCAAGATCAATTATCCTTCCTAGTAAATCATTTTGCAATGAATACGTTGCTATAGAGAAACCATCTGACCTTTTAAAAAAGTCTTTCTCTTGCATAGTAACATTCGTCTCTTCTGTCCAACACTCATACAAAGGTAAATCATGTCAATAATGCTTTTCTCTTCGCCTGGCCTGTCCAAAGCCATGTTCCACACACAGTAGAATGGGTGATTTGCACATCAGTTAGTTATTGCTCAATAGCAAATGCACCAAGAATGCAGCTTTACATTGTTTAGGAACCTCTGGGCCAGCTCAGTGGTTCTTCTGGTCTGAGGCTTACTGGGCTGGTCTGATGTTGCCTGAAATTGTCGGCGTCTCTCCAGGTAGCTGCTGAGTCTGCTGGAAGCTGGTTAGTCAAAGATATCCACTGACTATGGCAATAGCGGGATGATTCTGCTGGCTTCCCATCCTCCAGCAGGGTAGCCTGGGGGTGAGGGGCACAGTTCACCTAGCAACTGGGTGGCTCCCAGGAGAGAATATGTACCCCAGCCTCCTGAGTCCTAGGCTCGCTGCCTGATGGCAGCAGTCTACTGGACAAAGCAAATCATTCTCAATGGGAAGCGCTACAAAGTCAGGGTACAAAAGATGGGGTTTCAGGAAGGCATAGAAACTCATGGGCATTTTTTTAAAATGCCTAAAGCATACCCTTGCAAGCAATACCTAGTGAGCATCCATGGTACATCTAGTGATGAGGCTAAAAGAACCCCGAAGTAAAATTCTTTTTGAATGTAACACTTGGTGGCATCCTTACAAGTTGCCGATACATGATGGCCTCTCCATTGACATTTGCTTGATGAATGTGTTCATGTACCATCAAAGGTATTTCTTTTTCAGTCTCTCATCTCATAGAGTAGTTGTCTGATTCAATTCACTTATCATGAGTATATTTCATCACGTCTAAGTACATACTGCTCACTTCTCACTAAAGTCAGAATGGGACTATGAATGTGATTTTGAAAATATCACATGATAAACAATTTGCTGCATTTTTTGATGATGAAATAATGTCTTACATTGACAGCACCTTAGACAGAATGAAATACAACATGTATTATTCTTTATATATACTTTATAAAATGTATGTGATTATGTACCTATGCTTTCCTCCAGGCTTATCCAGGGAGAGTTTTTATAGGACCACTCCATTCAATAAACATTTAATTCCTCAATAATCACATAAAATCTAAAATTCCTAATCTATAAAAAAAAATTTGGCCTTTTTGAGACAGGGGCTCCCTGTAGCCCCAGCTGGCCTGGAACTCACTATGTAGACCAGGCTGTCCTTGAGTTCACAGAGATCTGCCCGCCTCTGCCTCCCAAGTGCTGTGACTAAAGGCATGTGCCACCATACCCAGTCTCTAATCTATAAGTGTTAACACTAATAGTTGACATACAGAAACTTTATAAAAAGTGTGCATTTATGAGAGCTTACTGCTCAGATGTTTTCAAATTTATATTAAATGTTAAGCATGTGTCTTATACAGGGCATAAGTGTATCTAATATTATATACATTTCTAAATACTCATGTACTTTAAATATTTTCATATTTTAGTGTTTGAAATTAATCAAAGGTTTAAAAGAAACTAATGAAGACAAAGTCTAATGACATATATGTAATCCATTGGTTTGTATACTAACCTAAAAAATTAATTTAGCAATCAAAAACTTCAAAAGCACTAAGAAATATGAAATCACCAAATCATGTAAGAACTCTGAGAAGTTACAGAAGAAATCCTGGTAAAACCCGACAGGGAGATGTATTCACTGTGACAAAAATAAAATCTATGACAAAGCCAGCATAGAATGATGTACGAGGAAGGGAGGGGGAGAGGGAGGGAGGAAGGGAGGGAGAGAGCAATTAAAATGAAGAAAAGGCCAGTGGGGATAGTGGTTCATGCCCGTGTTCCCAGCACTTGGGAGGCTGAGTCAGGAGGATCACAAATTTAAGGATAGTATGGGGCTACGTAAAAGAGCATGTCTCAAAACTTTTTTTGAAAATATGTTTTAAAGAGGACAAAACACCACAAAATAATAAAATGTGAATCATTAATAAGGCACAACCTACACTCACTATATAAGAAAATGAAAAACTCTGAGCCTTGCAATGTAAAAGATTGCACCGATAAGTTAATGACACTAAATAAATACAGTGCTGTATTAATAATTATCTGGTTGAGTGTATTACAACCAGTATATCTAACTAATTATGTTGTCCTTTCCCCAACTCGGCCTTCCTCTCTCTCCCACATATTCTCCCAAGGAGAAGTTTTAGTGGCATGAGAGCTGGAGAAGAAGGCAAGAAAGAGAATGACAAGCTGTCCTTTCAACTACGGGTGACCACCCTGTCCTGTGACTTACAGGCTCTGTCCTGAGATTGACAGGGCTTTCTTCTACCACACATGCTTCCTTCCTTCTTGAGATCATAAAAACACGGTCTAGAAATACACATACCTTCAGCTGAGCCCACTCCAACTCTGCTCTTACCAACTCGAACACAAACTCAGCAGCCCCATATCATAGCAGAGCACCTGTCTCCAGCATGAGGGTCCTTGCTCCGTTGTTCTTTAGAGAATGATTTCCAAACTAGACACGTTTGTACTGACTATAAAACTAAAAAGACAAACAAGGGCCCAGAAAAGATGGCTCAGCAGTTCAGAGCACTTGCTGCTCTTGGAGAAAACCTGAGTTCGGTTCCCAGCACCCATAGTGAGTGGCTCACAACTACCTATAGCTCTAGCTCCAGGGCATATGATGCCCTTTTCTGGCCTTCATGGGTACACACACATACATGCACATACACACATATAAATCCAAATTAAAAGATAGAAGCTAACATCACTGTAACAAACACTGAACATAAAAGAAAACAGGACTTTCACAATCAACATCATATCAAGATCTACAAATAAGGAAGAAGTGGTGATGACTAAGGAAAATACTAACATATTTGTGGCTATCAGTTTGCGAAAGCATTACTATCCGTTCATTAGACTGTTGTTCACTGCAATAATGTTCCACTGACTTCCATGTTCGGAGTTTTATTAAAGTTTTCAGATATAACATTTTATTCATTGTTTGATAATATGGAAAGTGTAAGAAAAAAAATCAAATTCATTCAAATGAGATTAAGACTAAAACTGACAAGAAGTGAGAACGTTTTCTTCAAGAGGATATTGACCGATTCTGTGATGGGATGGGTTGCTTTTTCACACAAAATATTTTCCAGAAAGCTTTCTGGAAACGCCTGTGACACAGGGGATATAAAAAGGGATTAACAAAGGAATTGAACCACTGAAGCCAAAACACAATGTTGTACCAGACTGATTTCAGACGTTTCCCTTGGGGATAGGTTGAAAGAACAATTGTGAACAGAGAATACGGAGCCCAACAAATGGCAAAAGCTCCTATGAGAATGGCCAGAGACCTGGCTAATTTCCTGCCTCTGAGCAGTTCGAGATGCTCCCTCTGGTGCAGAGCTAAGGCGTCTGATCGGGAGAAGGAACCCATTTTGAAGGCAATTATACTGCTATTCATGTGGGTTCTTAGGGACACCAGAAGGCTGCTCTTTCTTCGTGGACCTCCTGAATGAAGAAACGTGGCTGGTTCCTTTGGTGCAGGAAGAGAGGTCCTGGAAACCAACCCACCTCTAGATGACTGTGCACAGTAACTGGAAGAGGCAGAGATGAACCCAGGATGGTCAAGGTACCTGCTGAGATTCCCACGCTTCCATAGGCTCCAGTAAATCTGTATGTTGAAATAGGCCACTGAGATGACAGGGAGCAGGAATTCCAAAACTGACGTGAAGGCCAGGACTTTCCACTCTGAAACAAAGCCAGGCTCACATTCCTTAGTGTTAGTCTTGTTCTTCCAGGACTCTGAAACCAGAATCATTGGCCCATTCACCAAAAAGGCCAGCACCCAAACAGCCACCATCTGAGCAACAATCTTCAGGGTCCCTGAGTGTTGAGCCCTGTAAGACACCTACAAGAGACCAAACAAATTCGTTTCAATTTGATGAAAATGTATGTAGTACGTAGAGCATCCCACAAGCCCTCAGAAGTTCCAGGAATGTGCAAGAACCAGAGACGTTTACTAACGTGGTACTGTGACATGCAGTCAGACAGAGGGGTCAACGGCAGAAGAAACTGAGCCAGGATGCAAACTTTCTTTTTTAAAAATATTTTTTTATTAATTCTTTGAGAATTTAATATTTTGATTGCATCTAACCCAACTCCTCCCCTTAAATCCTTCCAGACCCACCCCACCTCCCTACCTCCCCACAACATCATATCCTTCTTTATTTTTCAATAACCCCTTATCTCCAATTTGTGCTGTCTATATACTTCTAGGTGTGGGGCCACGCACTCGAGCACGGCTGACCTACCAGGAACCATTCCCTTAAAGAAAACCAACTCTCCCTCCCTAGAAGTCATCAACTGTCCATGGCTCCTCAGGGGTTGGGAGGGGAACTCATGAGCCCCTTCCCACTCCATGCTAGAATGTTGAATGGCTTGATCTTGCACAAATCTTGTGCAGGCAGCCACAGCTGCTATGAGTTCATGAGAGCAACTGTCCTGTCATATCCAAAGATATTGTTCCAGTCCAGCCCTCCCTAACCTCTGACTCTTAAAATCTCTCTACTCCCTCTTCTGCAATGGTCCCTGAGCCTTGGAGAGGAGGTGTGGTGTAGATGTCCCATTCGTGACTGAGTGCACCATGGTCATGGTCACTTACTCTCTGTTCTTTGATAGTTGTTTCTGCATTAACCACCATCTACTACATGAAGAAACTTCTCTGATTTGGTCTGAGAGCTATACTAATCTATGGTTAGAGAGATACAAATTTAGAGTGCAGTTTGATACTGTCCATTTAGCAAAATAATAGTAGTTTCACTCTTATGGCCTGTGAGCTCCCCAGCCATGTGTTCTTGACCAGATTTGCAGTACCAGGCATGTGTTTCCTCCTGTGAAGCAGGCCTTAAAACTAATCAGAAAGTGGTTCTTTACCCCAATAACTTTCATGCCACTCTTTCTCCCATGGGCATATCTTGCCACACCTGTCATTATTAGAGTGTGAAAGGTTCACAGCTGGGTAAGACTGCTGACGACATTTTCCCCCTAGAAGCCTACCTTTCAATACTATGAGAGCTAGTCAGCAGGGAGCAAGCTTCCTGGTCAGTCAGTACAACCTGATTTTTCCATGTTCTGTGACCAATGCATATGGTGTCTTAAACAATAGAATCCTACCATCGAGCTCTGGTAAGCAACCAAGAGCAATGACAATTGTTTTGAGGGCCTCCATGATACATTTGAACAACTTGAGGGGAAGTATCCCACAACTTGCAGTGATTTCTCCTAACTCACAGACACTAATCATAATGGTAACTGCAACTGGATGTGCCTCAGCACATTTCTCAACCAGCAGCCTGGAACATGATAGGTGTTCTTTTCGATGAAATACAACACACAGTGTCAGAATGCATCACAGAGTCACATATTGTTGGATGATGTTTCATCAATGAAAGTGATGTATTTGGGGGATACAGATAAACATATAGAAAGAAATGCATGTACCACATCACAGTGCAAAATGCATTTCTCACCGTGATCCCAGTTTTTTAAACTGTGAAAACCACACCTTACCTGATTCCTACACTCGGGAAGGATCTACTCACCCATTCATGCTGTAACTCCGAAGTGGGCCAACAACAACAATCACTCTTGCATCACTCCCAAGAAGACTGGGCACAGGGTAGAACCCAACCTTGTTGTGGAATGGTGTTACAGTGTTCCTGAACCATCCCAAAGCACTTCTTTCTACAAGTGTTTCCACCACAGCCAGCACCATGAGGGTAACCCACATTGAGAGACACGACTGCACCGAATGTCGCTGTTTCTTCTTTTCTTCTCTTTTCTTTTCTTTTCCTTTCTTTTCTTTTCAAGGGTGACACAGTCATGTTCCCATAAGGGAAAATGAGATTCTGTGAGTGAAGACTGCCCTCTGCAATCTTTGTGTCAAACCTGACATCTCCAAGAATATCTTTGAACTCCGAAGACATCTAAGATCAACCACTCTGTACTAGGGATAAATGTCTAAACCAAGATTTTTCGTTTCTGCACTGAGGATCCAATCCAGGGCTTTACACATACCAGAAACGTGCTGTACCATTGAGTTGCATCTCAGTGTTTGATTTTCATAGACAGGGACTCATTACACGGCTCAGCTTAACCTTAAACTAATTACATAGTCCAGACCAGTCTTGAATTCCAGCTTCTGCTTCTGCCTCCTGGAATGATGAAATCACAGATGTCCACCACTACATCTGTCATTGAACCAAGAATTCTTTATTTGAGAGCTTGCTGAAAGTCCCCTACAGTAGGAGCCTGCTTCTTTAAATTATATATCTTTTTTTCATTCATATATTACTTTTAAATTTTGTTTTCATAGGATTTTTGTGTAATTTATACAGAATATGTCAAACAATCTTAATCATCTTTATATCCCTGTCCCCACCAGCACGCTGTCACAGACCCCCGCACACTGGAACCCATATAGTCTGTCATCCGTATTAAGGCCCAAATATGTCAAGTCAGTGTCCCCAGACGTTCGCCTGTACAAGTCCATCCACTGGGGTCTAGTCAGCCTTTCTCTCTGAAACTCTTTTAGATACCTGGGTCTTTAATTTTCCTTCCAGCTCAAATGTTCCAGATTTCTCTGATGTCCTCATATACAAGAAAGAAAACAGAAGTGTGCCCCCCTTTCACTATCTCCCATCTACATCTCTGTGAGTTTTAAGGACTCAGTGTACTGTGTTTTCATAGTTTTTAAGAGAAGCAATAGTCTTCAACACTGTTATTTTTTGATGGGCTGTACATGTTTACCAATGACTATAGGTAAAAGGAAATTGGTTAATAATTTTTTAAATAAGTTCTTTTTTTAACTGTAAATTGCTTTCTCCCACCCAAACTTGCTGGTATTTCTGAGAAGAAGCTCAAATGTAAGCTGACCACAAACTTCCATATACAACACATTCTTCTACCTTCTACTCCTCGTGACACTAATTAATACATCCCTTGCACTAAATCTAATGGTTATAAAGATGGTAACAATACCCAGATGGTCATAAAACTGCATTTAGCTTTTTAATTGCTCTGCTCAGCCTTTGTAATGGTATAATGCAATATGCTAGAAAGCGATCTCTTTCATTATGCATAAGGTCAATTGGGATAATGGACATCCAAGGGACTTGAGACGGGATGCCAATCTCGTCATCCTTCCTCATCTCTGGGGAGCGTTCTTGACAGCTCAAGTGTTGCCGGAATCCAGACCCAACTGATCAGAGTGGCCTCTCTGAAAACACTCTCACCCCCTACAAAATATGTGCATTATTCAGAATATTGCCCTTTACCCTGCCTCCTTCTCTGCCACAGTAAAATAGCCAAACATCCTGTCAATCACGTTCCTTTAGTACAACAGAGAAGCCCATTGGAACTTGCTGGTGTTAATAATGAGATGAGACTACATTCCAAGTTTCTGTTTTGAGTTGAGTTGAGTTGCCCCCAAAAGTTATGTTGAAGTCCTATCCACTGGTACCTGTGAATGTGACCTTATTTGAAAATATGATGATTACAGATGTAACTGAGTTAAGATGGTGTCATATTGGGCTAGGGGTCACGTTGCTCCAATATGACTGGTGTCATTATAAGAAAAGACAACACAGAGGTTTCCTTCCGATTTCTGCCTCTGAACAATCGGCCAACAAGCTACCGGTGCCCTGTGAGCAGCCTTACCAGTGTTCTCTCATTTTTACCTGGAGACTCTGTCATGCAATCCACCCTGTGCTGCTAAGTCTCTAGTTACCCCTCCTTCACCACATTCACAGTCTTCACTCTGGGCCATATGAGGACAGAGATTGAGGTGAAGCATCTCCAAGCCAAGGATTGGCCGCGACATCAAGAACCAAGAGAAAGACGTGAAACAGGGCCCTCTAAGATCCTTCAGAGAGAGGATAGCCCTGTAACCACATTGATGTCAAACTTCTAGCCTCTAGAGCAAGGGGAGAGTAAATTCCCACGGTTTCCAGCAACCCAGAGCAGTCAATCCCCACCAGTTTCTCGAGGTCTTGATTTTGCTGTCAGTTTTCTTTCCTCGTCCGGAGCAGAGGAGCACCCTTCTCTTCCTGTCAGTTTTCTTTCCTCGTCCGGAGCAGAGGAGCACCCTTCTCTTCCTGTCAGCTTTCTTTCCTCGTCTGGAGCAGAGGAGCACCCTTCTCTTCCTGTCAGTTTTCTTTCCTCGTCTGGAGCAGAAGAGCACCCTTCTCTTCCTGTGAGCTTTCTTTCCTCGTCCGGAGCAGAGGAGCACCCTTCTCTTCCTGTCAGCTTTCTTTCCTCGTCTGGAGCAGAGGAGCACCCTTCTCTTCCTGTCAGTTTTCTTTCCTCGTCCGGAGCAGAGGAGCACCCTTCTCTTCCTATCTTCTTCCTGGGCACGTTTTCACTCCCCTCCCTCCAGCTGTGATCTGGTCCAGCTTCTCGACCTCTTCATGCACTCGTGCTCCAGCTACATGCAATCTGGCCCCTCCGGAAGACACCTCTGGGGCCACTGGAATCTGTGTGGCTGTTTGCCTTGAAGTTTTATCTTCTAAATTATTGTCAGATTTCTGTTCCCCCGGCCCAGAGCTCCCATTTCCTGCCACCATCTCCTCTACTTTCAGCTACAGGCAGAGCTGAGCCTCCCACCACCACTGTCTGAGAGCTGCACATGAACAATTAGCCAACAAGGTGCAAATGCCCCTGAGTTCACACTTTCTCAGATAAGGAGGCTCTGCTATGCACTCTACCCTGTGTTCCTAGGAACAGAAGTCTAGCCACCCACCCCTTACCATGTTTACAGACTTCACTGCCAGGGGAGTTCCTCAGAACAAAACTAGGGTGAACACATACACATATACACGCACACACACACACACACACACACACTTCATTCACATGCACACACACATGCACATACCCGCACACACACGTATGCACACACATGCACACACACCTCACACATGCATGCACACACACACCTCACACACAGTCACACACACTTCCTCCCTGACCCTCTCTCCCCATCTCTCTGTAACCTGTAAGCACCTTTTCTAGCCCAGCAAACTGCTATTCCTTTTCTGTCTGTCAACTGTAAATAAACTTAGACAACTGACGAAGAACGTTCTAGGAACCTCCAATAAAGATCAAAAGGAGGGGCAGAGAGACAGCTCAGCAGTTAAGAGTGCAAAGGACCAGAGTTTAATTCCCAGAATCCATGTTGAGCAGCTCACAACTGTCTGTAACTCTAGCTCCAGGGGATCCGGCATCCTCTTCTTGCCTCTTTGGGCACCTGTGTACACACACACACACACACACACACACATACATACATACACATACACACACATATACACACACACCTAAAAATAAAACAAATCAAAGAAATTTCAAAAAGAAATACCCAGAAAGAAAAGAAAGTTTTAAAGTGCAAATGAAAAGATTCTGATTTAAGGCACTGTTTTCAAATTTTTAACTTTAGCTAAAGCAAGAAATACATTTTTACATCATAAAAAGCAAGACAACAGACGAGATGTATTCATCAAGTTAATAGTTACCCTTAAGATGTGTGGGCACTCCGGTAATTCCTATTCTATCTTTGCTTACTTTGTTCTACTCTGCCCCATTCCCTGTCATTTCCATATGATGAACTTATAAAAGAGAAGGTGGGGGAGAAAAGAAAAAGAAAGAGAAAAGCCAACTGGTCACAGCCCAGCAAGCTGATCTCACGACTCAGTGGTAGGATAAGTTCAACCGTTTGGAAAGAAGTGAGATCATGGCATCTGCGTTGTCAATGCAAACTGATTACCCTCTCTCCATGGTTTATCCCATGCAAACTGCAGTGGCCCTGACACAAACGAAGTACCCAGTGTCAACTGGTAGAGCCAGCTGACTGTCCCAGCACATCCATTTCACTCTTTCTCCTGGCCAAACGGTGGCTCAGTAGAGACCACATTTCACAGCCCTCTTTGCAGTGAGACAAAATGATGGGACTGAGTCCCACCATTGAGAACTGAGTGGACATGACAACAAATTTGCACTACTTGGTTAAAAGAAAATCCCTGGCCACGGACTTCTGTCCTTTCCCCTTCCTGTCCAGAATCTAGAACAGCAGCCTGACTATAAGCAGGAAGAGTATCGATAATGGCCTAGAGCGATGTCAGCACACTACTGTCGGAACAAATCTGGTCCACCACTTGTTTCTGTAAATAAAGTCTTACTGACCCATAACCAAGAACAACACCCGCCCCTAACATATCATGTAGGGCTATTCTATGCTACAGCAGAGTTGAAAGGACTACAGGAACTACAAAGCTGAAAATGTTTACTATCTGTCCCTGGATAATAAATGTTTGCTGGTCCCTGACCTCTAGGGGACAGCGCCATGCTGTTAGTGGGGAGTCCTGGACAAACTCCTACAGCAGAACCTTCCTCCTTTCCCATTCTGTTCTGAGAAAAAGAAACTTCTGTCTTGCTTGAGCCTCAGCATTTTGAAGCCCCCTTTGTTTCAGTAGTTTGCCATTTGTATCATCTAATGCCCCTTCCTGTCACATGGTCCTCCCAGGAAGGAGCAGCCCTTTCCTCTCTCCACTGCCAGAACAGCACTTGATCCATGTGCTTCTGGATCTACCTCCAAGATTCCCCCCAAGACTCTTACTTCTACAAGCCAGTATTTAGCAAAAGGGTTGCCACACAGTCGTCCTCCAAAGATTTGAGTCCCTAAGACCCAGAAGTGAAGAAAGCCAAAGATTGCAAATAAGGGGTGAGGAGCTAGCTCAGTGAGTAAAGTACTTGTTGGGCAAGCACAAGGACATGAGTTCAGATCCCCAGAACCCATGTGAAGCAAGACTTGGTAGCATGTGTCTGTGATCCAGCTGCTCGTGCTGGGAGTTCATAGGCTAACTAGACTGGCATACATAGTAGAAAAACAGCACAGAGACCCTGTTTCAAACTAGGTGGAAAGTGAGACTAATACCTGAGCTTGTCCCCTGACTTCTGTAAGTGTGTAGTGGCACACACATGAGCATACACACAAACACACACAGATGGATTTTTAAGACCACAAATCGCTGTCCTGATTTTTGTGGCTTCCTTCCATGCTGTGCCCTATTTTCTCCATTGTTCTGCTGTTGAGAAGTTCAGCCTCCTATGTATTGTTACTACCTCCTTAATGAGGCTATTCTGAATTTTGGCTAAATTCAGACTGATTCTTGTCACAGATCCTAAGCCAGTTCTCCCCTGCCCCCCATGTAACCTGTCTTCTTTGATTGTTCAGAATTGATTTTCTCGTCCTATTCAAAGTCTGGGATTCTTTCTAAGTGTACACCAAGTTCTATCCTGAGGAAAACATTCAAGTCTTAACTTGGCTGTGGAGTAAACTGTAAACTTCACAGACAGTCAAGTTACCAAAGACACAGTATAGTACTTCTGACTATTAAACTTGAATTTTCTTTGATGCCTCCCCTCCCATTTCAGTGGGTCATAGGGGAATGACTTGCCCTGATCACACAGATCAAAAGATGAGGGGCCTCTACATTTCTCAAACAAAAAATTACACTTTTTTTGTCAGGATAGAGGAGTATCTCAGTGATAACTTACTTGCTTATGTGCAAATCCCTGGGATCCACAACTCCTGGTATAGGAATAGATTATATATCTTAGGGACTCAAAATTTACAAGTATAAAATTTTCTAAGGAAAATAACATTTTAACTTACAGCATTCAAGACCGACTGGGGACTCAAAATTTACAAGTATAAAATTTTCTAAGGAAAATAACATTTTAACTTACAGCATTCAAGACCGACTGGTATCGATCATAGCTAATGAGAACAATATTGTAGACAGATGCTGTACACAAAAGATAGTCAGTGATGAGCCAAAAGATGCAGAGTCCACTTCCAAAATTCCAGTCAAATAGTGTGTGAGGGATGTACAGAGGAATGGAGATCATACCTGTACAGGGAGAGAAATAGATTAAAAAGCAGTACTGGACCAGCGAGATAGCTTAACAGGTAAAAGTGCTTGCTACCCAGCTTGGTGATCTGAATTTGATACCCAAAACTCACATGGTGGACTGAGAGAACCAACACCTGCAAGTTGTTCTCTGATCTCCATACATGCCATGTAATGCTTGGCATGCACATGTGCACTCACTCACACACACACACACACACACACACACACAATAATAAATATAGATAGATGATAGAGATTGAAGATAGATAGATGATAGATAGGATAGATAGATAGATGAAAAATAGATAGATAAATAGATAGATAGATGATAGATAGATGATAGATAGATAAGATAGATAGATACATAGATAGATGATGATAAATAGATCGATAGATGATAGATAGATAGACAGATAGATGATAGATAGAGATAGATAGATAGATAGATAGATAGATAGATACATAGATACATAGATACATAGATACATAGATACATAGATAGATAGATGACAGATTTTATTTTAAAACACATCATTGACTACAAGGAGGTATATTGTAATAGATTTACTACAGAATGACACATCTGAAAACAGTTTAGTTCTTGCTACCATTTAGAGGACTGTCCTCCAAAGGTAAGTATGGAGAAGCTTCGTCTCCAGAATGGTGAGATTGGAAAGTGCTGTGGACTTGTAGGAGGTGGAGTCCAGTGGGAAGTTTTTCTGCCATTAGGGCATCCCTGGGTAGAGATAGAGAACTCTTCCTGATTCTGGTTGTGAGCACTCACGCACATGTATGCTCCCAACCATCGCTAACCGCCACCATCAGAAGCCAAACCAAAAGGCCACTCAGTTTGGGATTTGAACTTCCAAACTGTGATCTAAACCAACTTTTTTTCTTTAATTTTGTAAAGATTTATTTATTTTTATTTTATGTGTATGAGTGTTTTGCCCACATGTATGTACATGTACCATGTGCACACAGTGCTAATGGAGGTTATGAAAGGGTGTCAGAACCCCCAGAACTGGAATTACAGACCATTGTGAGCCACCATGTGAGTGACCAGAACCAAACCCAGGTCCTCTGCAAGAACAAGTGCTCTTTTTAAATATTTTATTATTTTTATTTTATGTGTATGACTGTATTGCCCACATGCGTATGAGAGCACTGGTGTCATGTAATGCCCACAGAGGTCAGAAGAAGGCATCAGATCCCCTGGAACTGAAGTTACAGATGATTGTTAGCCACCATGTGGGTGCTGGAATACAAACCTGGGTCCTCTGCAAGAACAGTCAGCGCTCTTAACCGCTGAGCCATCTCTCCAGCCCCAAGAGCAACAAGTGCTCTTAACTATTGCTCCATCTTCCCAGCTTGATCTTTTCTAAGTTTATTGCCCCAGATTTTTGTTGTGGTAATACTATACTAACATATATATATATATCTCACTATATATAGAGTTTATATATATCATAATTAATTTTTAGTATTTTGTCAAACTGTGCAGGACTGCTCCCCTATACACTCTTTAATTGTGATTTTTAGAATAGCCATCAGGAACAAAGTACCTGTAAGGGCTTCTTATTACTTTCCAAGTTAACTGCAGACTCTAGCCTCTTTTTCTAGCTATATACATCATAAATCACCTTTGTGTCCTTCATGATCCAACCCAAACAAGATTGATCACCCTTTCCCAGTATACCCCATATCTTCAAATCCCTTTCTCTTTGCTGATAATATTCTCTCTTCCTGGAATGCACCCACCCACCCCCATTTTTAGGTTGGGGATCAGATCTAGGGCCTCGCACTAGACACAGGCTCGTGTCCACCTCTTTTTTCTAAACTGTGCTTTCTTGTCATTCTTCCAGTCAAGTCAAAATCTGACCTCTTCTATGTCCTCTTTGTTGGAAATTCCTTGACTGAGGTGTCCCTCTGTCACTGGCATGCTCTTGGCAACATTGCTGTTTATATTAGCATATATTAATTATACATAATAATTGTTTCATTATATTTTCATGCACATATAATGTATTTTGTTGATATTTGCCCCATTACTTCCTCTCATCCTTCTCCCACTCCCACAGATCCTCCTACTCTTCCCAACTAGCCCCCTTCTATTTGTGTGTGTGTGTGTGTGTGTATGTGATGTACCTAATATGTAAGGAGGCCATAAGATGACATCACGACGTCTCCCTCAATCACTTCTCCACCTTAGTTTTGAGGCAGGGCCTCTCATTGAACATGCAGCTCACTGTTCAGGACAGACTGGTGGGCCAGCAAACCCCTTGGGGCCCTCCTGTCTTTCACCTCCCAGAGTAGGGGTTATAGGCACACATGCCATGCCCAGTGTTTATACAGTGCTGGAGATTTGAGCTCAGGTCCTAGTGCACAAGAAGCGCTTTACCCACTAAACCATCTCTCCAGCTTACCCTTGCTATTTTCTCCTTCTTTCTTGTGCTAATCCCCGCCCCCCCCCCTCGCTATCAGGGCTCTTTTCATTTGTCTTTCCTGAGGATTAGGGCCCTGTTACAAATCAATGTTTGTGTTTCCTATATCTGCATTGACTTCCTTGATATCTTTTGCGTTCAACTTAATAACAGCTGATGTGTATTGTTCAATAACCACATGCCAGACATCACACTCTGCACATTACAATAACAACTCAAAAGGGCTGGAGAGGTGGCTCAGCAGTTAAGAGCACTGGCTGTTCTTGCAGAGGACCCAGGTTTGATTCCCAGCAGCCACATGGCAGCTAGCAACTGTTCATAGCTCCAGTTCCTGGGGAATCCGATGCCTCTTCTGTCCTTCATGGGCACTGCATGACACAGGTGCACTTATACACATGCAGGCAATACACTCATATACGTGAAATAAATTTAAAATAATAAATTAATTAATTAAACAGAATAAAAATATAATCTAATAAAAATGAATAAAATAACATATCATTTCATGCTTATAGAAACTTGGTGAGGTAGGAACCATGTTAACAGTTAAAGGGCCTCGTGCTGTGACATACCTATAATCCTAACATTTTGGAGGCTGAGGCAGGAGGAGTGCCATGAGTATGAGGCCAGCCTGAATAACACAATGAGACCCTGTCTCAATAGCAAACAAAAACAAAGAACCCAAAATTGAAAAAGGGGAAAGGAGCTAAATGCAATCAGCTAGTAAGCAGAGAGGACTGGATTTGAAAGCAGATGACATGAGTTCAAAATCCCTGGCTAACTACAACTTTCATCAACAATGAACAAATAGATTAAATCAACCACAATGATCAGCCCAGCACAGACACTGCTGGCCTGGGACATGACTCTGTTGGGCTCCCCTTCCTTTGACGCCAAAGTTTTCACTGCGTTGGCATTCAGAGAGGCGTCACCACTTACTGGGGGATTTAAGTGGGAACTCAGTTGAAAACTGGTTTTGTTGAGTATCTTTATATTTGTTGAGTATCTTTATATCAGGCTGGTTTTGTTGAGTATGTTCATATTTTATCAGGCTCTTGCAGACATCCCCATGTTCAACATGTTAGCCAAACTGCTCATCATTAAGAACAGTAGGAAGGATGAAAAACAGAAAGAAAGAAAGAAAGAAAGAAAGAAAGAAAGAAATAAAAAAAAAAAAAAAAAAAAAAAAAAAAAAAAAAAAAAAAAAAAAGGGAAAGAAACCACGCATTCTTCCAAAGGACGGGAAGAGGCCACATGCCATTGTTGGAGAAGTGTGGAAGGGAAGGCAGCACTTGGTGTTCTCACCTGAATTTGTGTATAGGAAGGGAAACAGAGCAACACTGAGACAAAGAGCTGTGTGGTCAGTTCTTTGGGCAACACTGTAGATGGAACTCAGGCCTTGCACACGCTAGCCAAGTGCTCTACCATTGACCTTACTCCCAGACCTCTTTTTACTTTGTTTTAAAAAAACTTTTTTTAAATTTTGTTTTATTATTTTTATTTTATGTGTATGCATGTATTGCCTGAATGTAGGTAAGTGCAACGGTGTCATGCAGTGCCCACAGAGGTCAGAAGAGGCCATTGGATCCCCTGGGACTGGAGTTATGGACAGTTGTTAGCTGCCATGTGGGTGCTGGGATTCAAACCTGGGTCTTCTGCAAAAACAACAAGTGTTCTTAACTGCTGAGCCATCTCTCCAGCTCCCTCTTTTTACTTTTTAAGACAGAGTCTTAACAGACTTGCCCAGGCTGGCCTTGAACTCATTCTGTAGTCCAAGCACACTTAAGCCTTCAATCCTCTTGCCTCAGTCTCCCCAGTAGCTGGGATTACAGACCTGCATCACCAGATCCAGTTTTACTTCCTGAATGTATAGTTCAAATACCCTGCTTGTTTTATGTTCCAATTGTGAGGGTTTGTTTGGGGTTTGTATGGGGTTTGGTTTACTGAGACAGAATTCTTACTATGTAGCCCAGGCTGACTTCAGATTCACTATGTAGCTCAGGCTGGCCTCAAACTTGTGATCTTCCTGCCTTAGCTGAGGCTGAGATTTCCAGCATACACCAGTTCACTGGGCACCAATTATGTTTTCAATGTTGTCAGATCCCCTGACTTTTATATCATTGTATAGGGGTGTGGGGGTGCTAGGAGATGATTGTGACAGAAAGTGATTTCCCAGGTTTACCCCAAGTAGATCAAAGTATCTCAAAAATAGAGACATTTGTGTTCTGGCCCCTGACTATGGCATCCAGTGTTCCCAACATGTATCTTTTCTATACCTACCCTCATTTCTTCCACAGAGGGACATGCCATTAATCATTAAACATCACCAACTTAAAAATTAAAGAAAGATCAGAGTTAACTACTCTTTTCCACATGCTTTCTGAGTTCTGTGAAAGAGGAAGTTCAGGACCTAGAAGCAGCTTCAAATAGCACTTGGCTTGGAACACACATGCTCTAGTCTGTTCCTCTGGTGTTTTGTTTTGTGTGTGCAAGGGTGTGTGTGTGTGTGTGTGTGTGTGTGTGTGTGTAGGCCAGAGGACAACCTCGGGGAGGGGG